ATGTTAATTAACGTTCTGTTTTTGTTAATGTACTGTTTGTGTTTATCTGTATGTGTGTTTATTAATGTTCTGTTTGTGTGTATGTATGTGTTTATTAACATTCTGTATGTGTGTATCTGAGTATTGTTGATTAATGTTCTATTTGTGTTTATATGTATGTGTTTATTAATAGACTGTTTGTGTATATATGTTTGTGTTGATTAATGTTCTGCTAGTGTTTATTATGTGTGTAAATTAATGTTCTGTTTGTGTATCAATGTGTGTGTTTATTGTTTGTGTGGATATGTGTGTAGTTATTAATGTTCTGTTTGTGTTTATCTGTGTGTGCTCAGAGTTTATTTTCAAGATATACCCTACGCCCCCCCCCACCCCAACCAATGGAAGTTTTCAGTACACCCCCACGCCCCCCCCCCCCTCTCCCGAGAAAAATGTCTGAAAGAAACCCTTCAAGTATTTATTCAAGTTATTCGTATGTATATTTATCTGTTTATTCATGTTATGTTTGTTTATATATGTCTATTCCTGTTATTTTTATGTGTATGAGTATAGGAAAAAAATATTGTAAACTGAACTAGTTTATGTGAACTCCTGCTGAGATTAGTGAAGACGATTTCTAAATCTGCTTCCTTGCACTTGATTGCGGGCCTTGGCTGTGTCTGACTGACAGATTTAGGTTAGATTAAACTGGTAGAGAACAGGAAGCTGGCCAGATTTTTTAGAGCTTCGGCAGACGGTATGCCAGGTTGGAGCTGATACACTAACGCCCACTGAGCGGCTGGTCGCTCACCTAGTGAAGATTTCCTTTTGTTGTTTCTGGGTTGTTTTATTTGTTTTCGTGTCGCCCCCTCCCATACATCCAGAAGAAAACAAATACCTTGGAGCATAGGTAACTTGAAAAATTAAAAACGGTTAATTAGAATGAAACATTATTTAAGAAACTAAAATAGAAAACCGGTGTTTTCAAATTGTTATAATTTTTCTCAATGCCATGGGGTTTTATTAGCTTCATTTGATTAATTAACTATACTCAAGTTATAACTAACACGAATTGATTTTATTTTTCATAAATCTACCATCACTGATGTTAACTTGCTTAACTTTCTTCATAAATTTACCTATCACTGATGTTAACTTTCTTAAGCATTGATGGTGATTTATTTTTAGGCACTGATGCTATATTTTTTAAGCACTAATGTTAACTTTCATTTACAATCATGTTAAGTTTCTTAAACACTGATGTTAACTCTCTTAATAAAGCACAAATGTAAACTTTCATATGCAATAATGTTTCGCTTCGTGAGCACTAATATTAACTTTCTTAAGCATTGTTGTTATTTTTTTTAAATCAATGAGGCAACTATTCTTAAGATCCGTACTGTTACAGCAGCTACTGTTGATTATAAATATCTCAAGTGATGTAATATTTAGTACATGAACATAAAAAATGTCCTACTTTACGCTATTGAAATCATGTGTTAAATAATGACTAGTATGAAAACTCAAGGGAATTTCGGGCTTTATCGATTTTTCTCCTCCTTCTCCCCCACCTCCCCTCCCCATCCCCCCTCTCTCTTCACAAAGACGTCGTTTTTCTCAATGGTCACTCATGTGATACCCCACTTCCCATTTAACCATCAGCGTGTCCAGATTTCCGTGTTTATAATTCATGCCTGTAGCTGTTGTCCGTAGACTTTGAATACGTTGACCTAGACGTGTTGATGTTGTTGTAGTTCAGTAGCGGCGTCGCTGGATCAATACCAGCGTGCCTTCATCACCAGGCTGAGTCGAAATGTAATCACAGAGCAATAAAACGTAATTAAAACAATCACGACCGTATGTGTTTGTCACTAGCCATGGGTATCTATCAGAGCTTAGTCTTGTTGGTACTGCACTTTTTATTTTATTTAAATGTGTTTGAATTTACTTTTTTATTGTTTGTGATAGTCTAGTTCTGCCAATCAAAATCAGTTGGCGAATACCCCCCCCCCCTTCACCATCCTCACCACCATCCAACACCCACAAAAAAAAAAGCATTGTCCTTGAATCCTTATTTTTAAGACCAGCATGATATTGCCACCAAATCTTTCTATTGATGAACAGCCTTTCGGTAATAATAAAAGAAAAACTTATACTATTGTATCAATCGTCTTCTTAATTACAGATTGTTCGAATTAAATTTATTTTGATTATAATCTATACTCACTATAACAACAATATTAAGCACGTCAAACAAAACAAACAATACATTGCTACCCCTCACTCGCCTACACCCACCCCCCCCCCCCCCTCCCACCCTAGCATCACACAACTCATCTATAACAAATTCCATCATTCAGGATCCGCCATCTTGCCACCCCCCCCCCCCCAGCACCCCACACAGACAGCAGCCAAGTTTTCCCACCAGATTTTCACATCTTTCTACCTACCCTCCGACGCTGTCACACTTAATTATGTCTGTGTGAATTCTATTAGCAAATGAAAACACATTTTCCCCCCTATTTTTTAAAAATACTTTTGTTGTCTGGTCTTAGTTGCCTTGTTTTCGTATAATTCAAACAAAATAAAATGTCTATTGTTTTTTTTATAAGAGTAAAATAGTAAATACACAATAACAAATAAACCTTTAAAACAGATTGAACGAAACATTAAAATTAACGATCGCAAGTTGCCGCCAGACGACACATAGAACGACCTTGACCTAGTTGGAGTAACAGTTGCCATTTTTTTTTTCCCGCACCGAAGGTCAGAGGACTATGTCAACGCTGCCAGAAATCCTACAGCCACCGGCAGCACATGCGGGCCGTGCTAACACGGCAGATCAATACGGAGTTGAGGCGAGGGGGGGGGGGGGAGGGGGGACGGAGGAGGGGGGGGGTACTTTTTTTTTTTCGTGGAACCGAATTTATTGAATGGTGGAGAACGCTGATTCGTTACCGCCGCCGATGTTTTGGTGGTAGTGTTGGTGGTGGTGTTGATGGTGGTGGGGTGATGCTGGGGTTTGTGGTGGGGTTGGTAGTGGGATTAATGGTGGTGGGGTTGGTGGTAGTGGTGGTGGAGTTGGTGGTGGTAGGGTCATGGGGTTGAAGTGGAAAGGTTGGTGGTGGGGGTTGATGGTGTAGTCGGTGTTGAGGGGGGTGGGTCTGTTTAATATATCAACAACTGTTTGTTATTATGCTGTTTAGTTTAATACAGTCAACCTTTGAACCTGGCGGTCCATGGGGGCAGATGAAGTAGAATTCACCTGTGTCTGTGACCTCGACATTTGACCTTGGCACAATGCCAGCAGTATTTTAGGGGGCGGCGTGGTCGGATGGTATAGCGTGTGACTGGTAACCCGATTGTCTCGTGATCGAAGTGCGGGCCTCAGTCCATAAGACGACCCTGAGTCTACCCAGCTTTGATGAGTACCCGACTCACACCAAGTAACGTAAAGGTGCTTTAGTGCAAATGAGGGACATTAAAAAGCCCCTCGCGAACTTCCGTCGAAATCGATCATATTATATTTTTGATAAAATCCCAACTCTTCTTCCTCTGCTCCTATAAACAACAAACAGGATCATCCGTGTTGCTTTCCGTTTCCAGGAAGCGTGGGCTAAATTTTCAATTGATGAAATGAATTGAAATGTAATCTTGATGTTTTACTATTGTTTTACTTGTTGTTTTCAAAGTTTCTTGTTACCTAACTCTGTCCGTTACAACAGTGAGCTCTGATGGTTCTTTACTTTTGTGATTCTTGCTCGGTTCTGAAGTGAAAAAAAAAGTCCTTTAGAAGGAATAATTTAGGATAACAAAAAACGTAGGCGAGGGATACATTAGGATAACAACCATATCAGTCAAGGATACATTAGGGTAACAACCATATCAGTCAAGGATACATTAGGATAACAACCACATCAGTTAAGGATACATTAGGATAAGAACCACATCAGTCAAGGATACATTAGGATAACAAACACATCTGTCAGGGATAAATTAGACTAACAAAAGCTTCAGATAACGCGGCTGAGTTGGATAACCCTGCCAAGAAAACGTCACATCCTTTAGATCAATAACCCCGGAAATGACCCCATTCACAACCTGTTTGCGATGGCGTGTCATGATAATATAAAGAAACCATAACAATAAAGATACGGGAACTATTTGTACTCATGGTTTTCACCGAGTTTTTTCGTTTGCCAAGTTTATTTTTTTACCAAGTCAGATCGAATTTTTGTTTTAGATAAATTGCGTAAACAGCATTGGAGTTGAAGTTCAAAAACCGACTTCATATGTCAACTTCTTGAATCGAAAAACGTTCTCAGATATGGGTCGCCGTGTCGAACACTTGTGGGTCGTAGCGGGCGAGTGGGTCGGGTCACGCGGGTCAGGTTGTTATGGAAGGTTCATGAACTGAATGCGTGATATTACCCCATTTCCACACATTCTTACTCCCCCCCCCCCCCTCCCCTTTTTCAACACCCACTCCACTTGAAGTGCTTCAATATGTCATGCGATTCCCTTTTTAAAAAAATTCATGTTTTTATTTTGTTAAATTCTTGCTGAACTCGAGATTCGATCTAACACACAAAGTCTCAACACAGTTTTTCATTGAGAGTATGTGTGTCTGACTTAGTGTTTTTTTTTTCACAGCTTATGTTTCGTAAGTTTTGGCCACATTAATGATGTAAAGTTCCCTTTTCAAACCTGACGGTCTATCGGGGCAAATGAAGTTATTTGTTTCTGTGACCTAGGCATATGAAGAGATAGTGTGGTCACGGTTTTATCTGGCACCCGTAGAACATTAGGAATGATCGGTCTGCATATGGTTCCAGTTGGTGTGATTCACTCTTGCGCATGCTTTGTGGGTAAGGACTGTTGGGATTGTGGATGTTTTGTGGATAAAGTTTGAAGGGATCCTGAACAGGTTTTTTTGTCCAGATTTTGGTGTTTTGACGAAATATTTTGGCAAATATTTTACTTAAACAAGACGATAAAGTGGAGTTGTTGTCATATTCGGTCATATGGGGGTTCAGAGGAACGCCAATGTTGTTGTTCATGATGGGGACGATGATGATGGTGACGATGATAGTTGTGGCGACGATGATGGTGGTAAAGAAGATGGTGACGATTGTGGTAGGAATGATGATCATGAACATGATGCCAATGATGATGATGATAGTGACGGTGATGATGACGATGATGATGGTTAAATATGATTACTGTAATGATGATGGTGTTGATAGTGATTATGATGGTGAAGATGATAATGATGATGATGATGGTTATAGTAGATCAGACCATTATATAAATGGCTTTGACCTCCACTGCCAGATAAAAATTCGCCTCCTTCAATCAAATTCCCAAAGTTGAAATATTCGGATAAATCTTGGACTTTCGCGCATTCATCCTTGCTCTCATTCATCGGTAACCCTTAGTAGTCTGCTCAACAATAAGTGTGTAGCTCCATTTATACCGAGATTATATATATGTATATATATATATATATATATATATATATATATATATATATATATATATATATATATATATATATATATATATATATATATATATAAAATCTCTACCTACCCCGCCCCAAACCCCCACCCCACTTACCCGTATCCTGTATAATGCGATAAATATAATATGATGTGTATATATAAATATATATATATATATATATATATATATATATATATATATATATATATATATATATATATATATATATATATATATATATACAAAATCTCTGTATCCACTTGTTGATGAATGTAAACATTGCCACCTACCTCCCCCCCCCCTCCTTCACTCACTCCCACCCCCTCCTGCCCCGCCCTCTATCAAATTTCTCCCTCACCCACAGGCTCCTCTTATCTCATTACATCTCTCCGTCAACATAATCGAGTTCTGGAACCTTCTCCAGTCAATCCGCGTCGTGACGTTGTTTATTTCCAACCCACCGTCCCTCAGTCTACCCCCCAACCCCCCACCCACCCTCGCTCTTAAGAAAGTAAACACCGATTTTCTCCTCACCACCTTGGAACCTCCCCTCACCCCCCCCCCCCCCCCACCTCTCCTCCTAGCAATCTTTTTTTACCTGATATTGTTAACTCCTGTCTGTAATGCTTAAAAATGTTTAAACCTCTTAAGGCGCCTTCACACACGATACAATCGTAGATCTCTCTCAAACCTGAGGATCCACGACAACAGTTGAGTTTTATCGTGGAGATTATTGTCTTTGTGCCGAGTGTGAATCTGGCTCTTGTTGTGTTTAGAGATTTGAAGACCTAGAGCGGCTGGGTAGGATAAAGAAAAAGATGCATAAATAAGAATAAATTTTAAAATATAAGTACGATTTTGCATTAGATGCTAGAAAAGCAAAATTTAATTTAATATATTTTTAAAATTCTGGGGAAAAAAACTTAAGTGAAAAATGGATGAAAGTAACGTGTGTAAGAAACATGCAGAAATAAGGTTAAGATATACATTCTTAGATAACTTATATATTTTTCTCTATTTAATCCTAGCAGGGGTGGACGTCCTTAAGGGGTAGTGTCCCCCCAATGTTCACTCTAAGGGGGAAAAACGTGTGCAAAATGTGTTTAGTGTGTGCGATGTTCTAAAATCCTTATACAAGGATATATTTATTTTACAAAATCACTGCGCGACAGCTCAAAACTACTGCGCAGCTGCGCAGCTTAGAGGGAACATTGGTCCCCCCCCCCCCAACCCCCACCCGTGAGATGCCAAAAAAAAACCCACTTTATTTGATTGGGAATTTCCGACTTTGAAACAAAAACACGTGGAAAAGAATTAAAGAAAAAGTTTTTTTTTAAGCTTTAATCGCCATTTTCTTAAATCACACAGGAACCTCACGTGCGAACGGAGCTTAACTCATCACTCGCTTCCCACGGCACGAGCTCGTGCAATTAAAAAAACCCGAGCAGGAAAAGAAACAAAACAAAAAACGAAAAGGCCAAAAAAAAAAACCAAACAACGGGAAATACTTTCCGAGACCGCCAAATTATCTTCGCGAACATTCCACCGATGCCACAGTCTACACCTGCCCACGGTGGATGAGGGGGGCCTGGCATTTCTTTTTACACCTGTAGCCCGGGAATGGGGGGTGGGGGGGGAGGGGGGGGGCAGTAAAGATGTCGGGAGGCGAAGATGTAGAAGAAAAAATGGGGTGTCTGAGGGTGGGAAAGATTCAATGATAGCCTCACGGACAAGTGATTAGTAGGTTCTTAATTCTGAAGAATATATATATATATATATATATATATATATATATATATATATATATATATATATATAATATATATATATATATATATATATATATAATATAATCTTAACACGAAGACGTGGAAGCTTTCAAGAGTCTACCTAAGAGCTCAGTTTTCAGTTTTGAGCTAGTTTCTCCCTCCCCTAAGGCAACCTATCTTTCTTGGGGTGCTATTCTCTCTAACTGTTCCCTTTGGGGGGGGGGTTAAATGTTGGGAGGGATAGCGTATGATTGTTGATTCCAAAAGTTTTGAGTTCGGACCCTGGGGAGATGAGGCCCGTCAGCTGGAGACAGCAACCCATCTGGGGATACCAACCCATCTGGAGACAGCAACCCATCTGGGGATACCAACCCATCTGGGGATACCAACCAATCTGGGGATACCAACCCATCTGGAGATACCAAACCATCTGGAGATACCAACACATCTGGGGATACCAACCCATCTGGGGATACCAACCCATCTGGGGATACCAACCCATCTGGGGATACCAACCCATCTGGGGATACCAACCCATCTGGGGATACCAACCCATCTGGGGATACCAACCCATCTGGGGATACCAACCCATCTGGGGATACCAACCCATCTGGGGATACCAACCCATCTGAGGACAGCAACCCATCTGAGGATAACAACCCATCTGGGGATACCAACCCATCTGGAGATACCAACCCATCTGGGGATACCAACCCATCTGGAGATACCAACCCATCTGGGGACAGCAACCCATCTGGGGACAGCAACCCATCTGGGGACTGGGGACAGCAACCCATCTGGGGACAGCAACCCATCTGGGGACAGCAACCCATCTGGGGATACCAACCCATCTGGGGACTGGGGACAGCAACCCATCTGGGGACTGGGGACAGCAACCCATCTGGGGACTGGGGACAGCAACCCATCTGGGGACAGCAACCCATCTGGGGACTGGGGACAGCAATCCATCTGAGGACAGCAACCCATCTAATAGAGAAAATCCAACCACGACCGCAGTGTAGATTTTTCCTGTTTGGACTTGACTCAACCCAATAACCTCACTGACCTATGACGTAGACGATTATTTTTTTCTCCAGTCCCCCTGAGCTTGTTGATTAGGCTAAACAGGCCTGAGGCTCTGATTGACAACTGACCATCATTAAACCGTCCTGGCTGTAATTAAGACACAGTTTACAAGTGTGGGTCAGCTGTGTGACATCACCCTGGGGCTAAATGACACACTGGTTGTTTTCCCTAATCTTCTGGTTACGCCCCCCCCCCCAACATTCACTACCGTAACCGTGTCCCTTATACCCTGCATCCCCCCCCCCCCCCCACACACACACATACCCTTCAACCCAACCCCCATATAACATACACTTTAAATATTCCCCTAACTACCCCACCCCTGACCCCACCCTACCCCAACCCGCCCCCCACCCTCATACATCTACCTATTCAGTGAGATGTCAAAACCATTTGATTAATTACAGGTGAGACATCTCGATGTTTTTGAGCAGGTGTAGATAGGCACACGTCACACCATGGCCTCGATGACCCCGGGTTCCACCCTCCTCTTATCGGATTATCCTCCAAAGATCAGCACACAAGAACCATCATCGTCTGCTAGCCTGGTACGTTTTTTTTTAAACTCAAAGATTCTTACATTTTGTTTCGTGTGAGCATTTGAGACTAACGTACAGTCGTCTACAGAAGAAGGCGGTAGAAAGAAGTCACTTAGTTCAGATACTAACTAGTGAAATCAAAGACTAATTAGTAAAATCAAAGTCTAACTAGTGAAATCAAAGTCTAACTACTGAAGTCAAAGACTAACTAGTGAAGTCAAAAACTAACAAGTGAAGTCAAAGACTAACAAGACAAGTCTAAGACTAACAAAAACGAGACTTCGATGACTAATAAGTAAGCAATATCAAAGACTATCAAGTGAGCGATTTCAAAGAATAAAGAAAAGCGAGTTAAGAGACTAACAAAAAAATGCAATTAAAGACTAATTAGTAAGTGCAATCAAGTAATTCAGATAAAAAACTAGCAAGTAAGTGAGATCAAAGAATAACAAGAAAGTGAGTTTAAAAAATTAAATTACTTCAGCTACCGCTTAGGTGACACCCGACCTTTTGACGCCACTACACAAACCAACAAACCACAGACACACATACAGACAGACATTGCTTCTTAAGAAAAGAAAAGCATGTAAAAAAAAAACTTTAACCGCTAATAATTTCATTTATAATTTCACAGCACACTTCTGCACAATTCCGTGACAGACACGCTATGCAGGGAAACCAAATGTGCAGCCATCATGTTCAGACACGTGACCTAGAGACCTAGGGACCTAGAGACCTATGGACCTAGAGACCTAGGGACCTAGAAGACCTAGGGACAGCAGACGATACACTTAAAAACTGAAATCTTTACACGTGTCTAAAGGTGGACCTTTGTTTCATGGTGGAAGTTGGTAGAAGATTGTATCTGTCACGTTTGATGGTCACGTTTTTGTAAAGTGTTGTGTCACGTAGAATGATCACGTCTGGTAGAAGGTGTCACGTTGAATGGTCACGTTTAATAGACTGTTGTGTCACTTTGAATGGTCACGTCTGATAGAAGATAATGTCACATTTGATTGTCACGTTTAAGGGAAGGTTGTGTCACGTTTAATGTTCACGTTTGATATTAATTTGTATCACATTGAACGGTCACGTTTGATAGAATATAATGTCCCGTTTGGTTGTCACGTCTGATATAAAAATTATGTCACGTTTCGTGTTCAAGTCTTGTTGTAGATTTCTCCTAACATTTGTATTGTACAGTAATACTGCTAAAAATGGTACTTCAAAAAAAAATCAGGTTCATCAAATGACTTTCATCTTTTACTTTGATTGGTATTCTTTAAATCTTTTAAATCTTTTTTTTTAATCTACGATTTGGTCTAATGGTTAAACGTTTGGTTACTAGCCCGAAAGTCCGGAGTTCAGATCTCGACTCTGAATGGTTACTGTAGGACGTCTCTTCATTCCACCCAGCAGCTGCCGGCTGCAGTGGCGTAGCGACCCTTCCCGGCGCCCGGGGACAAACTTTCAATTTGTACCCGCCCTCGAACTTTTCATTTGCACCCCCTCCCCCTCAAACTGTCAATTTGTTTTTCCAACCCATTTTGGCGCCCCCCCCCCCCCCTAAGGTCAGCGCCCGGGAACATATGTCCCCCCCCCCGCTCTCTCCCCCCCCCCCTCGCTGCGCCTCTGGCCGGCTGTTCATAGTGCTGACCACACTATCCCTTCACATCACGAGGTCAAGAAACATTAACTCTACTTCATCTATCCAATAGATCGCTAGATCACAAGAGGAATTTTTTTTTTTACTTAACGATAAGTTTTTTGTGACTTCTTTGACATAAACCGTGTGTAGGTCAAAGCAACGAGCAGTCCAACATTTTGTAGGATTTGTTACTTCTAAGGTAGAGGGGGGGGGGGCTAACAATAACACTAGAGTATCGTTACTCTGTATCAATGGTTCTTAACCTGGGTTCCATCGAACCCCAGGGTTTCGGTAACCCCAGTCTCAGGGGTTCGTCTAGGTCAAGAATACCTCTGACACATAATATTCACGATCGGATTTTGTCAGTGCAGACGATTAAAACTATTATAAGCAGTGTTTCTTCCAGACTTTTTTCTCCGGGGGGGCACTTGAAATTTTCGGGGGGGGGGCGGTAGACTTTCTTCGGGGGGGGCGGACACTGTTAAAAGTATATATTTTCTATATAAATTATATAAATTTCATTTCGTTCGGGGGGGGGGGCGGTAAAAATTTTTCGGGGGGTGGCCCCCCCGAAGAGATGCCTGGAAGAAACTCTGATTATAAGAAGGGTTCGGTGAACGCGAATATAAAACTGGTGGGGTTCGGTACCTCCAAAAAATTTTGAGAACCACTGTTCTATACGCTGAACATGGTATTCGAATATCGCTAAGGCGGATTTTACTTTCGCAAATTGTCAACACATCATTTTTAATCACTCCAAGCAGTATTGTTTGAGCAAGGGAAGCTACTCTGTTGTTCACGCGTCTTAAATGGAAAAGCAGTTACTATTCTAAAACAACTAGTGGATTTAAAAAGAATAAGTCATGATAGTTAACTAATTTTACATTTCATTTCTTTGATTTCATTTTACCCCTATCAATACTAATTAGCCGTTTAGTCATTTTGGGCGTTAACACTTGCCCCCCCTCCCTTTTTTGACCTATACAGTTGACGCCCATGGATTTTGTCTAGCCCACTCCTGTCAACCAGGTTGTTTTGCTAGTATTCAAATCCTAGTCGCCATTAGAATTTCATTCATGCTTGTCTCTCTTTTTTTTAATAAAGGGGCGCAACTACGATGTAAAAAAACAACAACAAAACTGTTATCGTTGTTTGACGCACACGGCTGGCATTAGAGAGAGGTGGATAACTCAGGTGAGAGAGGTGTCATAAGAGAGGTGTATAACTCAGGTGAGAGAGGTGTCATAAGAGAGGTGTTTAACTCTACTATGTATTCCTTTGACAATTGGCTCCGGTTAGCTCTCCGTAAATTATGACTCCGGCTAGCTCTCCGTAAATTATGACTCCGGTTAGCTCTCAGCAAATATTATGACTCCGGCTAGCTCTCCGTAAATTATGACTCCGGCCAGCTCTCAGCAAATTATGACTCCGGCTAGCTCTCCGTAAATTATGACTCCGGCTAGCTCTCAGCAAATATTATGACTCCGTCTAGCTCTCAGTAAATTATGACTCCGGCCAGCTCTCAGCAAATTATGACTCCGGCCAGCTCTCAGTAAATTATGACTCCGGGCAGCTCTCTATAAATTGTGTCTCCGGCTAGCTCTCATAGCCTGCGGCCCCTTAGCCACATTCGGCTCTTGATTAAAAATAACATCCCAAATGCTCTTTTCTCTCAGCACAAGAAAGTGGCAAAAAAAAAAAAAAAAAAAACGCTGGCGAAATATATTCCCCATAAGGGACGTTTAATGTCTTTGGTACAGTGTGTACGAGTGTCACAACTAAAGTACGATAGGCCTATATATTTTCTTGAAACGTCCACATCCTAAATGCAATTTTAGTAAAATAAATAATCGAAGTATGGGGGTGGAGAAAGGGGGGGGGGGGGAGTTCACCTAATAAATACGTTAGGCCTACACAATTTTAGCCAGTTCTATACCCCTCCTCTACCGTCCCTATTAAAAAAACCTTACACACCAAACCCTCAAAGAATTATCATGTTTGTTTCATTTAAATATACTGAATGCTGCCCCACAAGTCTTAACAGAAGACCGATCCTCCCCCCTCCCCCAACTATATCCCCTAGATGTGTGACGTCATTTATATTCCACCCCCTCACTTAATAAAGTTACAGACTTATCTAGGTATAAGACCTAGACCTATCACGTGGTTTTTCATTTAAACTTTCCTTAACAACACTCGTCACAAAAAAAAAAATTACCTCATATTTCATTTGACTCATAGGTTAACGTTCTTTAATTTTCCATTCATAAAATTTGTGTGTTAGGCTAATGACGACATAATGTGACACGCGTCACAAAAAAAAACATAAACATCATGATGTCACCGCATTCCGTAGACATATCATTAACCCTGTCAACAAGCCACTGACTTCGACGTCATCAGAAGATTAAAATCGTAATCAAAAACACCACGTCACCGAACTACGCGGTGTATTTATAGCCCGTGAACTTCAAGGTGAATACGTCACTTTGCCGCGTAAAAAAAAGTAGTCCCCTGTTGTTGTTTTTTTACCACCCCTTGCGTCAAAATTCATACACCGTCTATTCAAGAAGGGTAAGATTTCGTTATAGTTAGCTCCCCTTTTTTAATCACAAATTCAGCTTTGCCATTTTTGGGTCATAGGATGTTACGGTCGACTGGCTTTGAATGGGCGATTTGTATGCGGGAATTTGGCTCGGTGCGTTTGTATACATTTTTTTTTCAATGCCTTCAATCCGGGTGTATATATAATCATTGTGTAGGACTAAGGCTGACACAGTGTGTGTAAGTCTAACAATCGAGGGACATTCATAGGCATTGCTGGGGTAGATGTACTATGTACCTACTTTTTTTTTAATCTCCCTGTTTAAAAAAAGTTTGGGTCTCTATGACCGTAATTTTGGAAGGTCTTAAACTTTTAAGCCGCGATAAAACTAGTCTTCGGTTTTACGGTTTTTTTTTAATCCGAATAATGTATGATGGACATCTGGACATATATTATTAGACATTTAGCGACATTTATGTTGATGTTACCTGTTATTGGACGCTTTGAATTGTGTTTTGTTAAACATTTTTCAACCAAGCTGAAAAACAAAAACATTTTTAAAAACACCTGTATTTTATAGGGAAACTTCACCCACCTGCAAAGAAAATTTATCCTCGGTCTAAAATTACGATATTTTCAAAATTTTTGGTCCAAAAATGGTTCGGTTATTTCCCTTCAATGACGTAAGGGGGTTAGAAAAAAGTTTTAGAGTTACGATAAGCATTTGTAATATTTTTGTGGTTAGGTTAGTTAGGGATGGGTTTAGATGAACTACGTAGGTGTTGATAATGGGAAATACCGTTTTATTATGT